TTGCTCAAAGACGTTCAATTTCTCATCAAACGCTCCCACTGCGTGCATGAAAGACAAACTTTTTCACTAGGAAAATAACAACTAACACCCTGGTACTCTCTGCAAACCACACACTTCAACCAAGAAGCCCAAACTCTCAACTTCTTAGCAGCTCATGTTAATTTAGCTGAAAGACAGGTGACATTTGTGCCAAGTGCAAAGCTGAGGAGTCTCGTCACATTACTGATGGAGTTTTTAAAGAGAGCTCCTTCCCACCGGTTTACTTCTCTTTTCCTGTCAGATAATTACATCGCATTAAAAGACTTCTAACTAGCATGTCTCCGACTCTGAGTCAAACAGAGAGACATTTTCAACAGTTTAATGGCACGAAAACGTTTTAAAATTAGTTTAGAAATGAAATGAATATACAGGAGAAAGAGAAACGAGTCTGAGAGGATTAAATTGTTCAAGAAGTCAAATCTTTTGAACAGCAGTCCCAGTACAGGAGAGTGATATCAATAGTCGATGTGTAAAGTGGTGTGAATCATAGTTTTGCAAATCGGTGTGATCTTTCAAGTACTTTTGTTTGTTGTTGTTTTGTTTACAACAGGGAAAAGTAACTATGGGCTTGTGTTTGGAAGACCAAGACCTCCTCTACTGTTCAGGAGGCTTGGTGAGCTTTTTCCGTAAACGTGTATGATTAAATTTGATGGAAAATATGGTAATGGCAAAAATCAAAAGGGTACCCACCCTCTACCATCTTTTTTTTTTTTTTTTTTTGTCTTCCCAAAGAAATTAACATGAGACTGTGAAGTTTTGTATCCATTTCTCAGAGGACAGTTATGCCACTTTTGTTGTTCTTAATCCATCAACTGTTCGGCAACACAACAATATCTAAAATCTGCAAATAATTCAGACCTCATCTAAAAGTGCTAATAGGAGTTGCACATTTCAATAGTTCAAACATAAAATATACCATACCTGTGGAAACTGTCTTAGCACTACACTCTTGCTTATTTCCACAGGAAACAGCCAATCAGCAGCAAGGAAAATAAATGGCTCTCCTGGATCAGCTGCTTTGCAAAGGCCAATCAGTTTTGTGTCAAGCAGAATGGCCCTACATAAGAGTGAATTTCCTTTTTATGATACATATTATCCACCAGTAATGCAACTGCATTTACTTCAAGATTTCAAAAGCTACTTCAAATTAAATGTCAAAACAAAGATATGAACTGAACCACTTTCACTACAAGGTTTACCTCACAATTCAGTCATGACAAGACGAAAAATACAAAACTAGTGTAGGATTAGAATGACCAGCACACATAGGTCACATTACAACAACATATGTGCAAGCAAAAAAAAAAAACACTGTCATCACTTTGAATCTTACAGATTTGTTTGAAAAAAAATAAAGAGTTGTAAAGTATTTCTGATTGGCTCATGATGATAATTAGCTTTGCATGACAACAAGGATATAGGATAGCGTTTTGGGAAAAAAATTCCCTGCTCCACATTCCTTAAGAAAAACAAAAAACACACACCCTGTGAAAAATACACAAAGTTAAATCTCCCATCTGTTTTCTGAGGAATGCGCAATCGAAAAGGTGTTTTGCAAGATCAACAACTCCTCAAATAAGATAAGAAAGGCAACAATAAAAAAAGACATTCCTTTTCAACTATTCTCTTTTAATTTGGTTTTTATCAGCAGCAAAATCACATGTTTGAGGGTGAAATTTGAAAAAAATGCACCTGAAAATTACATTTTAACGCAAAACGTGAGGACAAAACAAGAAAGGGAAGAAGAGCAGGATTATTATTGTCACTCTCATTATTTTGTATAGATGAGTACAGCAATAAAAACACACATACACAAAACGCTATGAAATATTCATTCAAAGGAAGCGGGAGGTGGAGAGTATCTGCAGATGCGGTCTGCAGAGGAAGGGGCGGGGACTGCTTAAAGACTCACCTGCTCTCTCTGCTGGGGGAGGATGAGCATGTCAGATAGGTGAATACACACACACACACACACATCCCCCACATCACCCATGCAACCCCATGGCGATTAGTAACACCTGTATTCAGCACTGCACAATGAGCTATAGCAGCAGTTAAGCCAGGGGAGTTATTGGGCGGGTGGGGATGGACAACATTTAGACCCGGGGGTTAACATGCATCGCGAAAGAAATACCTGGAACGCAACGGAGAGACGGAGTTGTTAGAAAGCTCCAGAGAGAGGCGGTGTGTCTTGTAAGATGAGTGTAAATGGTTCATTTTGCAGAGTGTTAGCCAAACAGGTGTTCTCATTAACAAGTGAGCCCTGAGGGGTGATCCAGATGAGAGAGCCGACAGAAACACAGAGGTGAACACAGGTTGTTTATTGGAAAAAACAAAAGGGGAGGCTTTGTAGAGCTTTTTTTTTTATTTTGTGGATTCGATAAAGTATCTTTAAAAAGTTAATACGCCTCAAACAGTGTGTTTTCTTGGGTTATTTGGTGTGATGAATCATTGTATAATGCCGAACTTTGATTAAAAAGAAGAAAATAGTAAGTATTTGATTTTCTTCTTTGGGCACAAGCAATAATCTGTGTTCAGAATCATTGAGTCAATACTTTGAGGAACCACCATTTATTGCTTTAACAGCAGCAAGGTGTTTTTTGGGGAATAGACTTTGACTAGGCCATTCTAGCACAATTTGGTTCATGCTAAGCCTTTTTCTTGAAGCTCAAGCTATATGTTTATTGCTGTTGTACTTAAACAAGTTTTCCTCCAGTGTTGCTCTGCGTTTAACACATTCATCCCATCAACTATGACCCTGTCCCTACTAAAGGGAAGCACTCCTGCAGCATGATACTGCCACCACCATACTTCTTCCACATTCTTCCAAATAGTTCCCGGGTGTTCTCTCACTTGCTTTTGACTAACAGTGAATTGTGTTTGTTCATAGAACAATGTTTTTTTTTTCTTTCAGTTCTTCATAAAAAAAGGGCCCAACCTATGAAATGAGATTAAATTAAACATGGGTCGTCTGAATTTGCTTATTGGTTGAATCGTATTTTATTTTGGCATATCAGGGAGGTGAATACAAATGCACGACACACGTATTAGATTTTAACTTGTAGAAACTGCTGAAAACTAAATAGTTTTCTTTTCACTGCGCAACTATGTGGTGCAAGTGCTTTTGCAGGGCACCCTATTTGCTGGATAGAGACACACGCGTGCAGCGGGGGCGCTACAACCCCCGGGTTTGCGTGGCTGAAGGCTAAAGCCGTCTAACCTGCAACCACACAGTTCAGCTTACAACCTGCATGGGATCTCTGAGCACCACCTACACATCAACAAGCTCACACTCTCACACAGTGAGAGACAGGTGTCAAGCTTCAAGCCTGTCCACCGCTGAAACCAAGCCCCTACTTCTCATTTACCCAGTGCCTTTACTTCACCGTCACCACACCACCGCTGCTTCCCACAAACTTTATAACGTCAACGGATAAAGTCCAGCACATCTACTCCCCGACCGTTTCACAAAACACAGCATACAACTTCGGCTTTGGCAATACAAAAAGAGATCAGAGAGATTTTAACCAGCGAACATCGCTTAACCAACTTCAAAAGTCCATTCATGATGGATAAGACAAGAGCAGAACGCTTCCATTCCTGCTCTGCAGTCCCACGAGCACACGTGCAGCTAATATTTTTTTTCCCCCATCTTTTGGCCAATCTCGCCTACACTCCTCCTCCACTCATCCTTGAAGCTGTTGTCTTGGTCTGTGTTGCATTTTTTTTTCTATGTGGAACACACAGATGGAGGTGCAGACGCAGATGTACACACATACACCACTGTTCTCCTCTAAAAAGACAGCACTACATGACCCCACCTGGGAGAGCAACCTCCAAGGAGCAGCCAGGGAGTGGATGGGCGGGCAGAGCCAAAGAAACAAAGCACTCTGAAAGATGTTAGGTCTTTAAGTTGACAGCGTGCCATGAGAGTTTAGTTGTTCTAATGCTATTTGGATTCTAAGCATTAAAAGCAGATAATTGAGCTTTATCCTGCTCATGACGACACACACACACATACACACTTTCAAAGGGGCATGCACAGGGAAACAAGCCGATGGTAATTGAATAACAGAATAAAGGACTTTGGAGGGTTTATCATATCAAGTGCCAACCCTTAACTCAGTAGTTGGAAGGACAAAACAACCAGACAAATCCACAGAGGGCTAAGACAATTTGGAAAAATGGCTTGATGGTCTCCTAATCCCGGAGATCTAGTTAGCAACTGTCCAACAAAAGGAAAAGGCCTACATCTTACAGCTGTACACTAGTTGCGGCTGCCAAAAGAGTGCACGTTAAACCGCGGCAGAAAAAACAGCTCAGTGGGACCGTACAAACGCTTCAGAATAACTGGAAATCTATTTACAGCACAGGGGAGATAAAAACTTCTCCGTGTTTTAAGCTCAAGTATTCAAAATCTATACATACATTAAGTGCTATAAAAATATAATTTAAAAAGAGTTTGGAAGATAAATAAATAAATAAACAAAAAAGGTGGCACCACATGTGTGGTTTCCAATTCTCACTCTTCTAGAGTGAGACTCGAGCTTTTCCTTTATTTTACAGACAGTGCCTTCTCTGATTGCTTACTCTAAACACAGTGGCTATATCTTTCTGTAACATGTAGGTCTCCCCATCCACAAAACATCTTCTTTTTTTATCACAAGGTGTGCAACCTAATAGCAACAAGCTCAATTTAACAGAATGGACAATCAAGGAAAGTTGCCTTTCGCAAGAAACAGAAGAACCCGAAATGTTGGGTTATAAAACTCCTCTAATGAATAAAGCGTGTTTTGTCAGGATTATATTAATCTGTAGATTAACAAGGCGTACAACAGGTTTTTAAAGTAGTTCTATGTTTCTTTCCGTGTGTTTGAAACTTCTATGCCTTGTTGCGTGTAAGACATGTTAAGAATCAAAACTTTCCACAAAGAAGAAAGAAGAGATATTTTGTCCATTACCTGGCATAAATTAAAAAACAGATAAAATCTTCTTGGTGCTCCACTCCTCTGATGCTGAAGCTTATGATTTTCATAAGAGAAAGAGATTGTTGATTCCACACGACTATCACAAGCGCAAAAAAAAAAAATAGTTATATCTAGATTTCCTTTTAGGATCACGTTTGTTCATTTAATAAAAGTAAACTTACTGTAAAAAAAAAAAAAAAAAAAAAAGTTTAGCAATAAACCTCATACTGCTATAGTGAGCTTTCACAAAAACATAGTCCTAAAAGTGGGTTTACGATAAAAAATGATGGATCTGCAGTTATGTGAAACACACAGAAAGTTAATATTTTTACTGCAGTTCTACCAAATTCATAAATGCCTTTGTAAGGGACTTTCACCCAAAACGTAAGACAAAACAAACTGAAAATAGCCATTATCACTTTCCTTATGTCCTTTGTGACGTTACCAGAAGTGTGTGTGCGGGTGTGTGTGTGTGTGTGTGTGAAAGTTTGCTTTTAAGACAGGTTATTTAATAATGATTGAATACCAATTTCTACAAAGTAGGCCAACGAAAACAAATAAAACAACCCCATCTTGTTGTACATAGGCAAACTGTACCTATAACGAGTTTGATTGATCTCATCCATATGTCGGAGCAACTGGTTGTAAAACTAAACAGAGATGTTGCTCACAGAAAAACTTTTTTCAGTCCCTCCCAGCTCCGCTCAAAACTTGGCAGCCCTGCTGCGACTAATCTGTCAACCTCCTTATGCATGATGGTGAGCATCCACCTGACTGTGGTTAAGTCGGTGCATGACAGCCAGACGCTCTCCGACGTCCGTACGCACAGCTTTTCAAAGAGAAGTGGGGGTTGTTCCCCCGCTGTCACATGGTAGAAAATGGAGGAAGACGGAACTGACCGGTTCGATAGGACAGCCGTTGGCAGGAGACGCTTTCAGTAAAAAACACAACAAAAACAAAAAAAAAAAAATACTTGACGCGGGTGCTGTTCAACTTTCATCTAGGATCAGATGATGATCCTACTCAAATACTTCTGCCTTCTACAAATGAATAAAAATAAATCGTACGACAGCTCTATATATTCAAAATAAAAAGCCTCACTTCATCTGTGTGTCTTGTCTGATAAGTCTAAGAGACTTGTCATTGACGCAGCAAAATAAAAAAATAAAAAACCCAGCTGGAGAAATCCCCCTTTCTGGGGTTAATCGTGGTGAAAAGGGAGGAGGGTTCAACCCCCCCTCTGTCTTTCAGACGCAACGCGCTTTCATTCTGAATCCCCTCCAGGCGTCTATAGCGCATCCACCCCCCGGTTTTCTTCTGTGCTACGATCACGATCATGTGTGCACAAGTTTGTCTCCCAACCCCCTTTTGTTTTCCTCTGCAAATGTGGAAATCAAAAGTTTGCAAAAAACCCCCGCACTGGTTCTGTCAGTCCTGTCCGACACGTCCAGCTTTCTACGACCAGTAAACATAAACGCGTCTCAAAACAGATGACTGAGGAGCCATAACTCGCATTTGCAAATTCAAATAGAAATTTAATTTGAAAACAGTTTGCCGTCTTAAATCGGGTTAACTAAACGTATGGGCTGAAGTAGACTGGGATCAATAATTTGAAACAATCCAGGCAAAAATAAAAAAAAAAGAGCTTGGACGGCTTCTTCAAAATATCAGCACGCGCAGTCAGGCAGCTGGCTGTCACGTATGGAACAGGTAGGCGTACTTTAACACTCGATAACCCGTCTGCGTTACTGTCGAAATATCCACTCAAGCTCCTCGTTAACATGATTCTAATGGAAATGTGGAATTAAAAATATATATATATATATATATATAAAATCCAGAAAGGCCTTTGTAAGAGTAGCCACAGTAGCCAAGAGTTGTATTGTGTCATGTCTCCAACCTGCGCGCAGCGGCAGCAGCAACTAAATCAGCTGTAGACGCGGCGGCTCCGTGAGGCAGAAAACTAATTGTTGACATGACAGGAGGGGGAGAGGGGGGAAGACCTCACGGTGTCTGGATGAAATCTCCACTCCCGATGATGTCCCGCTGATGGGCAGCGTGGCTCCCGGTGGTGGCTGGAGGTAGGAAGTCAGACATACCTGTTACCCCATGGGGTCTGGGGTGGCCGCCGTGTCGGTCCTTCGGAGTCCAATCTGCTCTGACAGCCTGAGGGGAAGAAAGCTGGGGATGTCCAACGCGCCGGGTGCCGTCCCTCCTCTTCTCTGTGCGCTTTTTGTTAAGTGTTATTCCCCGATTTCTCCAACTCCCCTCTCCTCTTCCTCCACCAGCCCCTTGTTCTTTCTCTCTTTCCCTCCCCTGCTTTTCCGTGTCTTGGTATCAGGAGCCTCCCCCTCCTCTCCCTCCTCCTCCTTCTCTCTCTCTTCCTCTGTGCATGTCTATCTCTCTCTTCCTTTCTCCCACTGTCTCTCTCGATCTCACCCCCCAAAGCACACGCACACACACACTTTCTCTTAGAGCCAGGAAATGAGACAACGTAAACCCACACACCATGCGTAGACTGGGATATATCATTTCATCTCAGATAAGAAGCTTTCATGTCTGACCAGAATGTGACACAACAGCAATAATAATAATAATAATAATAATAATAATAATAATATAATAATAATAATAATAATAATAATAATAATAAATAACTGAATCTTAAATGTCTTTTCCAATTTCTGCATCTGTTGCCATAGGACTCCTTAATGACCAGTTTTTTCCTGTAACTTGCCCCCTCTTGTGGCAGTAATTGGAAAACACTTTTAATAGGAAAAAAAAAAGTCTTACTTTTACAATGACAGTAGCTGGAAAACACCTCTTAGGCCATGTGATGTGCAACACACAAGCCATTTTTTTGTTTTTGTATTTATTTGTTTTGTTTTTTTGCCAGAAGTTCTGGGGTAATTCCACTTCGGCCTGACACTTTCCTTTGAACGAGAGAAGGATTTTTTTTTCAATGTGTGTTTCTATGTTTGGGGGGTTTGACACATACGTAAGTGAGTCCTGTGTGACTTTTATACTTCCTGTTGTTATTGTTCAATATGTGGCTCTTCTCAGAGAGTTAGAGTCAACATGAACCTAAATGATCACATTTCTAATGAGGGAGATAAACAGATCAAACTCTTTCACTTAACTACAGCACTTCTTTCACATGTACACTCTATAATCTCTTTCTTGGTAGCACTAGGTCCTATGCTGAATTGCCTTAATTCTTCATCTGTCTGTGAAGAAAATCTCCTGTTTCACCACATCTCATATGGAGTATTCTGAATTTACTGTCATGTTCCAGAAACTAGTTGAAGATGATTTCAGCAATGTGACACCATGCATTATCCTGCTGGAACTAGTCATCAGAACAGGTGTACACTGTGGACATAAAGACAATGACTATATATATATTTATAAAAAATTCCCTTCTCACCCACCGCGGGTGGTTCTTATCCTCTGAGCTCGGGTCCTCTACCAGAGGCCTGGGAGCTTGAGGGTCCTGCAGTATCTTGGCTGTGCCAAGGACTGCACATTTCTGGACTGAGATGTCTGATGTTGTTCCTGGATCTGTTGTAGCCATTGATCCAGTTTGGGGGTTACTGCCCCGACGGCCCCGATGATCACAGGCACCACTATGGTCTTCACCTTCCAGGCCCTCTCCAGTTCTTCCCTGAGGCCCTGGTATTTCTCTCAGTTTCTCGTGCTCCTTTTTCCTGATGTTGCAATCACTTGGTATTGCTACATCTACCACAACGGCTTTCCTCTGTTGTTTATCCACGACAATGTCTGGTTGGTTCGCCATTACCATTTTGTCTGTCTGGATCTGGAAGTCCCACAGGATCTTAGCTCTGGCGTTCTCCACCACCTTTGGGGTGTTTCCCACTTTGATCTCGGGGTTTCCAGTCCATATTCTGCACAGATGTTTCTGTACACTATGCCTGCCACTTGGTTATGTCGCTCCATGTACGCTTTCCCTGCCAGTATCTTGCACCCTGCTGTGATGTGCTGCACTGTCTCAGGGCCTCCTTGCACAACCTACACCTTGGGTCTTGTCTGGTGTGGTAGATCTGGGCCTCTATTGCTCTGGTGTTTAGGGCCTGTTCCTGGGCGGCCAGGATGAGGGCCTCTGTGCTGTCCTTGAGTCCAGCTGTTTCCAGCTATTGATAGGATTTACTGATATCAGCTACTTGGGTTATTTGCTGGTGGTACATCCCATGTAGGGGCTTGTCCTCCCATGATGGTATCTCTGGCACCTCAACCTCCGTTCCCTGTTGTCTGAGACATTCACTGAGCACATTGTCTGTTGAGGCTTTGTCCCTGATGTATTTATGGATCTTAGTTGTTTCGTCCTGGATAGTGGTTCTCACACTCACTAGTCCTCTGCCTCCGTCCTTGCGACTCGTGTACAGTCTCAGGGTGCTGGATTTGGGATGGAACCCTCCATGCATGGTTAGTAGTTTTCTGGTCTTAATATTTGTGGCTTTTATCTCCTCCTTTGGCCAGCTAATTATTCCAGCAGGGTATCTGATTACTGGCAAGGCATAGCTGTTTATCGCACGGATTTTGTTCTTGCCATTGAGCTGGCTTCTCAGGACTTGCCTTCTTCGTTGGAGGTATTTAGCTGTGGCTCCTTTCCTTGTGCCTCATCGAGGTTGCCATTTGCTTGTGGTATACCTAGGTACTTGTAACTGTCCTCTATGTCTGCTATTGTTCCTTGTGGGAGTGAGACTCCTTCTGTGCGGATCACCTTCCCCCTCTTTGGACTACACTTCTCTAGTCCAAATGACATCCCGATGTCCGTGCTGTAGATCCTGGTGGTGTGGATCAGTGAGTCGATGTCTCGCTCACACTTGGCATACAGCTTGATGTCATCCATGTAGAGAAGGTGACTGATATTGGCCCCATTTTTGAGTCGGTATCCGTAGCAGTCTTGTTGATAATTTGGCTGAGGGGGTTCAGGCCTATGCAGAACAGTAGCGGGGACAGAGCATTTCCTTGGTATATGCCACATTTGATGGACACTTGTGCAAGTGGTTTGTCAGTTATATAGAATTGACAGAAACTGACAAGAAAACTGTAGCAACAAAAAATCTGAAATCTTAGTATAAAAATCAAAATTCTGACACAGCTTTACGTCAAAATATTTTTGAAGGAATTGTGAAAATTGTTGTACCAACCACATATAAATTAGCTAAAAAATGTTCGTAAAAGTTGTGGTATAAATTGCCACATTAACCAATTGAACAAACTTCATATTACTGGTGTTTAAGTCTTTACTGAGTTGAGATCACATAATTCATCACAGCTGATAATTAATAGTTTTTTTTCAGACTGTGCAAACTTTTAATTTACTTCTGAAGGCTAAAGCAGAGTTATAACAGCTTTAGATGTAGGAGTTGGTTTGTGTCTCAGAGTCAGTGCATACAGTGAACTTGGTGAGTTAATGTGTTCAGTAATGAGGAACTGTGGACAAGCTTGTTTCTTGGGAAATAAGAATATATGTGCTGTAACCAGGAATCGTTGGAGGTTTGAGGAAGTGGGAAACATTTATGGGGAAGAAACCGGGTGGCACTTTAGAACATGTACTATGTGTGTCTCTGTTGTGTGTGGGTGGTTACTGTGTGTGTGTGTGTGTGTGTGTGTGTGTGTGTGTGTGTGTGTGTGTGTGTGTGTGTGTGTGTGAGGGGGTCTGGGGGGGACAGTGATGTGTAGTCTAACACAGCAGGGGGTTGAGCTCTGCCTCTATTAGGCCGGGTTGTTGGCAGCCGAGGGGCAGATAACAGAGAGTGTCAGGCCATGTGGATTACGGCTGCCGGGCTGCAATGCCCCTCTCTCACTCATACACACACGAGCCCACTTCCAAGTAGGGTCTGCAAACACAATCCCTTCCTGAAACAAGCTGCTTTACTCAAAGCTGTGGTCCCTTGTGCCAACAGGGCTTTCCAATCCGCCTGACACGAAAAGCACGACCCTAGTGCCTCCGCCTCCATGCCACTATTCCCTGACTGATGCGCTCCCACTCTGCCAGCTCAAGGATGGGTTTAGGCAACATTAGACCACTTACACATGTATTTTCCCCCAGGAACACTCATTGTAGAAATCCACACTGAGTATCACGGTGAGGAAAAAAAAAAAAAAGGATTTTGGTATTAGAGTGCTTTTGCCCTGCTTGTGTGTGGTGTTTAAGCTCAGGAGCAACATGTGGGTGTGGTGTGGACCTATACTGTACAATTCTAGTTCGACATTTACCAACACTTCTCTGGAGCAGAAACAATTATGAGTTACACTTGTTATCCTTAAGCCATTTCCCATTTCCCCCTGCTTTTTGAAATGCGTAAATGTATTTTTTTGGGGGGATAGTGAGTAATTGTATTTCACTTGGAAAGGTGCTGGTTTGATTCTAGCTTCTTCAATTAGCGATGTAGCGATACGCCCTTAGGCAAGGCACTTTGCGCCAAGTTACCTCTGGTTCTGCATTCTGTGTATGAATGTGTGTGTGTGTGTTTGCGAGTGCGTCTGGGTGAATATGTTTCCAGTGTAAAGTGGTTTGAGTAGTGAGTATGACTGGAAACGTTACATT